ATTCCATGCTTTTTAATAATGTTTCCTAATGGCAGCATGTAGAGAGTAAAAAGTTTCGGTCCGAGTACCGAACCCTGCGGCACACCGAATTCTACTCCAGAATAAGGTGACGAGTTCTGATTTACGTTGACGAAGTGATACCGATCTGATAAATAGGATTTAAACCAGCCAAGGGCTGTTCCTCTAAGACCTATATCACATTCTAGCCTCTGCAGTAGAATGCTGTGGTCTATTGTGTCAAATGCAGCACTAAGGTCCAGTAGGACCAGCACTGACACTTGTCCATTATCAGCAGCTAGTAGTGAGACATTTGGGACTTTGACTAGTGCCGTTTCAGTGCTATGATGAGCTCTGAATCCTGATTGAAAGACTTCAAACATATTATTTTCCTGCAGGTGGCAGCGAAGCTGCTCAGCTATACGTTTTTCCAGGATTTTAGATATAAAAGTGAGGTTTGAGATCGGTCTGTAGTTTGTAAGTATTTCTGGGTCCAGGTTTGTTTTCTTCAGAAGGGGTTTGATTACCGCGGTTTTAAAAGCTTGTGGGACATAGCCACATTGTATGGATGCGTTTATTATATTTACGATAGGCTCAATTATCAAAGGAAGTATGTCTTTGAAGAGCCATGTCGGGACTGCGTCTAACATGCAAGTTGAGGCTTTTGAGGATGTGACCACAGAGATCACCTCTGCTTGGCTCACAGCCATGAATTTATCGAGGCCCACTGAAGAGTCTAAGTGGGAAGTCACGTATGCCGCTTCAGCTTGTCCACTACCAACAGCAGGAGTAACCTCCTCCAGTTTGTCACGGATGGATGTAATTTTATTATTAAAGAAGTGGAGAAAGTCGACACTGCTCAGTGAGCTTGGAATTTTAGGCTCGATTGCGCTATGGCAGTTTGTGAGTTTAGCGATGGTGCTAAACAAAAATCTACTGTTATTTTTATTCGCTTCTATTAAAGTTGAATATTGAGTTCGAGCCCTGCGAAGGGCATTCTTATAGTTTCGGTAACCTGCTTTCCACTCCCTGTGGACAGGCTCCGAGTGGGAGTGGCGATATAGCCTCTCCAATTTTCTGACGTCCTGTTTTAAAGTGTGGAGTTGAACACTGTACCAGGGCGACGATGATCTAATCCTAATAGTTTTCTGTTTTAAAGGAGCTGCTGCATTTAATGCAGATTTTAAAGACTCCATATTGTCCACCGTTTGGTCAATGACTGAGGGACTGCAGCAGCTATGAACAGGTTCACCTGCAGCAGATAAATGAAATTAAATTGAATTAAAACTAATAATTATTACACCATTCCCATCGTGTCTCTCTCAAAACAGCTTTTTTCTACCACTAGTTTTCAAACAAATTTATTTTTTGGCCGCTGTCACACCTTTTGATCCGCTTTTCCCCTCAGCCAATCAGATATAGTGACTCACAGGGCTATTCCTTATAAGTAGACAAGAAATAATATGTTTTTTGATAAGATGAAGACGGCTGGTTGCGGTTGGAATTGTTCAAAAAATGACAAGAACGGAGGAAAAAGTTAGATTTCCTAACTTTAGTATAATAAAGCTTTTTCAAAATGTTTATTTTCGACGTTTTTCTATTAAATTGATAAACGATAGCATGAAAAACAGCCGCAAATAAATACGATTTTGTCATTATGGAAGTATTATTTTGTTTTCTGTAGGGATCTACTACTTCTAAAACAACTATTATTTTATCCTGAAAGCCTATTCTATCCACTTCAATCCTACGGTCTATCGCTCAAAACCACAAAAAATAAACTCTGAGCTCATGTTTGATTCAGTTAAAAGCTGTAATGGTGTGAGCTCTGGTCTCATGTTTCATATTGATTCACAGCAACAGAACCCGACTCGGACCGACCACGCCTCTCAGACCTCACATAATTCTAGTCCAGTTGCCTCTACGACAACTGTTTTGATCCACTGCGTCAAAAGCCACCTGCTGTTTTGTCTTTGTGCACCAGTGGCCAAAACGGCTGGCAAAAGAAACATGTTTATAGAAACAAAAAAATCAACAGAAACATGTATATATTCTTAATACTTTCATTACTAAAACTAGTAATGAAACTAGATACTCACCTTTCCTCCCACATAATGGGAAAAATCACTCTGACGTTATTGTACATTATTGCACAGATGGGTGACATGTGAGGTCAGGTTGGCAGTGTTCATCCGTCTTCATCGTTCCTTGTACAGTCTGACAGCAGAAAAAAACCCATATCAAGACAGAATATGAGAGTTATTGATCCGTTTTGATCCACTTCAGAAAGAGCCTTTAAACACTGTGATGCTATACAGAGCAATAAAATGTATAGATATAAAAAAATCAGCATATTGTCCAACACATTATATTTTAAAATCAGCACTGTGGTATTGAGTATCATATAAAATTTTTTTTATTAATTAATATCCCAATCCAACTAATCAAATAAACACAACAATAGCTTCCATTAGATACATTGAAGGAGGATGACAACTGAAATTGAGCTGCACATACGATTAAAAATGCACAGTTTGAGTTCAGGTTGAGTTTTAGTTGACCAATCAGTCTTTTGATGTCAGTGATAACATGCAGCTCGAGGTCTATAAACATAAATTTACTGTGCTGACTTGCGACTAGTGTTACAACACAAAAATGACACACTCGATTTGAAAAATATTATAAAATGTTTTGGAACTGAGACTAAATGTGCGATGTGAGTTTAAATGCAGTGTTGATGAAATGCAGTTGTTAATAGCATGCAGAAACCACTTGAAATAAAGGAATGTGCCCCTATTTCCCGTTGCTCCCTCAACCCCCCATCCAAAACAAGTGCTGTTGATCCCATTGGTCATGCCCTGTTGTCTGAATGAAAATCCAATGCTTTAAACAGGAAACTAGAGGGATCATCGCTGTGGTAAAAAAAACACACGGGTTTCCTTCCGCAGCTTCATGCAATCATTTCTGTTTAAGACTTTAACCCATTCGAAATATATATTATTATGGCTTTATGAGTTAGTACATAGTAACCAAAGTCAGGACTAAACAAGTCTTCCTGAAAATGTGAGACAGGCTTCTACTCTGACAATGTTCAAATCCAGGTTCAAAACAGTTGTGTTCTGCTGTGCATGCAACTGAGGGATTGTATTTTGTATTATCTATGATCATTTATTATTTTAATGCCTTATGTGAATTTAATATCTCTGTCTTGTTTTGTCAAGCACTTTGAGTTGCCTTGTGTATGAACTGGGCTCTACAAATCAATGCCTTTATAATATTAAGTGTTAAATGGCAAACCACTTATTTCTCATTGATTCGATATTCAAGGAAAGGAAAAGCCTGTTGCAAAAATCTGAACTTTTGTATGACAATCTTGCCACCACATACAGACCTTTATGTCGACTTTGAGAAAACAGGTTGTGTTCTGGGCTAGCCCTGTTATAAATAATGTATGTGTTAGATTCATTCCAGCTGGCTTTGAACGACAATATTGACGAATATTATAAAACTATTGCATTTTGACCGAGGACAAGTCCTCATAAGTTGCACGTAACCAGACACTGACCCTGAACCAGACACTGACCCTGCATCCAAATGTACTGTACCTAAGAATACCCTATTCCTTCACTTTCCTTGCCCTTCCTTTTCATGTTTATTGACCTAAGTGCAATTAGAAACATCTTAAAAAGGCGTTCAATTTCACGTGACCAAACCTGGAGCTGAATTGGTTTCTAAAAGGTACATCTTAAAGCAAGGAAGGATAATTGTTTTTTTTGTTGCTGTATTTGATGTAGGCTGAAACTCATCCATTCTTCTTAAAGATCTACCATTTGTGCTTCCCTCTGTGATTTGTGTGAAGTTCTAGGCTTTTTCATACTGCAGCCCTGGTGTTTATGCCTGGTACCAAATGGTGTGTTTTGTTGACATGGGACAGTTGTGTGAAAGCTTGGAGAGTTTTTGTGGTTTTTCCTTCGTGTGACCTGTGTGTAGTTTAAAACCTTCTTCACCTGACCCGTTCATAGGCAAACTAACAGTTTGGTTTCATTCCTGTCTAGGTTGTCTAAAATTGTGATCCGCCTTAGTGCACAGGTGTTAAACACAAGGCTGGAGAGCCAAATGCAACCCACCAGACAATTTCTAATGGCCCCAGAAATGTTCAATTTATACTATTAACTTGCAGCATGGATGGTAAGATTAATATAAGCTACTGTATATCATACTATAGCATGTTATATACTTAATTTTAAAGTTAGTCTTTTCAAGAAAAAAAACATGTACAAAAACAACCATGTATAAAAAATATATATTATTGGCAAATCCTGATCAAGTTTTGATTAAATCTAAAAAATACCAGAAAAGAATCTACAAACTCATCTTAAATGAAAGTGATACAAAGTGATCAAAGTAATACATGTAAAACGACCCACAGATGCAAAGATGAGCTTCAAACGCTTTTATACTTCGGCCTCTGTGGAGCTATTATCGTTTAAATCCAGCCCCCTACCAAAAGGAGTTTGACACCCCTGCCTTAGCATGAAAGAACAGACTCAATGGGGGATTTTTGCTGAAATTCCTTAGAGGTAGTGAAAAAAATAGTTCTTTAAAAACTCACACTCACTTTATTTTTATTTCCCTACTGAAAAAGACAAGAAAACACAAACATCTTCATACAATCACAAGATGGCCGCCGCGATCGTCAGGGCAACCGTCTCGTGCTCGCGCGCATTCCGGTGGCTCGTAGTGGCTAAAGCAGGGCGAGGCTGTGCGCATGCGCCGTTCGCCTCCTCTCCTCCTCTCCTCCACCCCGCCTGCCTGGCGCTGCTTTCGGCTTCTACCGCATCTGACACCACCGCTACACACCCGCACGCAACGGAACAACATCCAGCGCCTGCTTACACGTCCCAAGACCCTCCCTGGAGCCTGAGTTTTTGCTTATTTTGTGCTTTAACCGCGCTGGTTTGACCGCTGCAAGCTACATTAATCCCTTTCATCCATTGGCCGACATGTCTGGATATCAGGGCAAGAAGAACATACCTCGCATTACTGTGAGTTTTGGCTAATTAAACACAATTTAAATGCTTTTTTGTTGTTGTGGGTGCGTTGAGGGGTCGTCACACCGTGTTTTTCCTCTTCAAATCAACATTTGTCTTGCTTTCTTTCATTCATTTGAAGATAATTTGGTGCAACACGCGTGCAACTTTTGACGCTCGCTCGATTGCTGTAAATTTATAGTAAAAATAATGCTAAATCCACATTATGTGTGCAATCTTTATAGTCTATGTCACCTTGTATTGCTCTGAATCCCACTTGTGTAGCGGTTTCTTTTGGGGGTGTGGACTCCTGTCACTGGTGTTCAAATCTCAAAGAACAGAGCATGCAAATTTAGGTGATCCATTTTTGCATTTCTAAACTAATTCATGTTAATTTCTGCTTTAATTTAATCCCCGAGGGCCATACATTTGGTCCAATCAATGTTTATAGCTTTTAAAATCAATGCATGGTGAAGCTGTAGCTGGGATTTCAATGTAACGAGCTTTGTGGCAGGTGTGCTGTAATATTATTGAGAAAAAACATTTTGATCATGTTTTGCTTTATATACAGACCATAATTCAACAATTCATTAGTTACGTGTGTTAAAATGGGCAAATAAACGTGAAGATACCTTAAAAGTATCTACAACAGCTCAGAAAAGTGGCTTTATCACAAAAATTTGAAGGCAATTTTTGAGTTTCAGTCATAGAAAATATTTAAGTATTCAAATTTCTCACCTTCATAAGGAAAAGTGCGAATTTAAGTGTACATTTCTAGTGATAAGTCTCTGCTATTACACATGTATAACTCCATTAATGCTGGCTGTCTTTGTGAATCACGAGTTGAGCTGCTTGTATGTGTATCAACTGGTGTCACTCGCACTTTTGTCAATATAATAATCTATCTTGTCCTAGTTTTTCTTTTTCTAAATTGCATCTTTGGTTCTTAGTAATGGAACGTCACAGCGGTTTTATTCCACTCATCCAGGGAGAGTCTGTGAGAGTGGAAAAGGGAGGGGACCCATCCGGCTGCCTTCTAGCTGAGGGAGGGACAGAGCCTGGATGGATGTGTGTGCAATGCATGCCGCAGAAAGAAATAAAGAGGTCACTGCCCAGAACAGAGCAGATAATTGGGTTTGCATGGATTCAATTGGACCAAATTGAGCTGGCAAAACACACAAAAACAAGTAGCAGTGGCTCTTAATGTGAATAGGAATTTTGAGCTGAATAAATGTGTAATAATTGCATAGGGATTTTTTTTGTCCTGGGAAATATACCGGTAAGTAACTTGTTAGTAACGTTTAAGGCCCTGGTTTGAGAGCAGTGTAAACCAGATTTAGACATGGTTTAGTTCAGAATTAGTTCCAGTTTTGATGTGGTATATAAAGATTTGTAGTTAAATTATTTCTTATTTTTCCTCCACATTTTTTATATGCTTTGGGTTGATTCTCATGTAGTAGTATAGCTTGATCCATGCTAATATTCTGCTAAAACATGAATGGGGCTCAGCCTGTCCAAATTCTCCTTATTAAAACACTGTATCTGCTATATTAGGAAGCTGACACGGACATCATCCCATTGTTGTCTTGGGTCGACACACCTTTTCTACATTTTAAAACAGTTTTGGAGAAATGCAAAATCTACTTTTATCAACATTGCTTCCTGATATGTTACAGACCTGCACTTGCTTTAAGATCCATCCATTCAAATATTAGGAACTTCTGACACAAACCTGTAGCTCCGCCCCTTCTCTCTTAAAGCGTCTGTCTCAGCCCTGTAATGTGGTGATGTCATTGTACCACTATGACATCACACTCAGAGCAGTTTTCTACCTTTTAAAACAAACGTGTTTCCCATGAATTAGTTTTTGCAATTTCTCAATTTAATATATGTTCTGGCATTCGGATGTCTGTGTTTGCAGCTGGTAATTTTCAAATATGGAAAAAACAAAACAAATTCTACACCTCCCTCTGTCCGGTGGTAGTATTAGATATATGACAGGCTGATTTGACACTATTTACCCTTCATACTTGTTTCACCATATAGTTTCTACTGAAGATATTTCACATTTTTAAACATAAAACGACATACTAAAACAAGTCACTATCATCTTTAATGGTCAAAAATAAACCGTAAATTTTGCTGGTCGATGTGTCTTGCTCTTTTTAGTTATTATATAAATATATTTATCCAAATATTTTGCTAGTGAATAATTATGTCCCATTATGCCACATGCTATTCCAATGTAAAAATTCTCAAGATTTTGTTGGGGCCAGAATGCAAAGAAATGCTATATGTTTGTTCTTGACATTGATGCAGACCAGTGCGGGACCATGGAGTAGGCACATGTGTCCTCATTGCATCAGATTTCGGGGTCTATAAGCGTTTGACATGACTCCAGACGAAGGCTCTGTCAGCTCCTGTTATCCTAATGACTGTAAATGTCACGTCCTGTTTATGTATATGTGCGACAGCGGCCTTGTGACTGGGGACAACGTTGTCTTTGGGATTTTTCTATCAATACCACGCTTTCATTAAAGAGGATCAAGTGTGTCTTTGTTGTACCACTGAGAGAGACGTATGGTTGAAGAGAGTGGAATTGTCAAACTGTTGTAGAGAAAAAAGAGGAAATGTGTAGCTCATCGAAGGTCCGGCACCGCACAGCCTTGGTGTTCGTTGTACAGCCTTGAGTCTTGGATCTACAGCCTGTTCGTCAGTTGCACATCTCTCTCTCTTTTTTGCCACTGTTTTTTGAGTCGTTCCTTGCCGATTCAGGAGGGTCAAAGAAAGACAGTGATGATCCATTTATTAACATTCATAGATATTGGTCATCCCGCTCCCTATGGACCAATTGCTGTTGTGGTTTAGGGCTATACAAAAATACATTGAATTTTATTTAAGAGTTGAGATACAATAGTATAATTTCACACCCTCATAATGGTTTTTGTGTATAAATATAAAAAAAGCTAACTAAGAGAAAATTATTAGCTATATAATATGAACATGAATAGATGTAGTGACCAATAGAGCTCACCAAGAAATGTGGTCAACTAAAACCATAATACTAAACATTGTTTTACGTAACTGACCTAAATTGAACTCACTGGACTTGGAAAAACAAAATTCAGGCATAAAATCAGTTTGATATTGAACAATTAAACAGTTTTCCCATAGACTTTCTATTTTATATACCTTAAACATGCTCAACAACAAGACAAAATGAGAAAATAAATTAAATAAACTTAAAAAGTGATGAAAAATAGGTCAAGTGATCAGTGTCATTTGTCTGTTTGTCTGTGAGCAACATAACTTTTTGACAACTTTTTCCAGAAACGTCTTCATCAGTACTGTAATGAACTTCTGAATCAAGCACAAGGAAAATAAGACTTTGATAACTTAATTTGCAAAGTAATTGAAAAAAAGTTGTGTTTTTCTAATTGGGAGCAATCATGGTTCAGGTTAGGGTTTTGATATTTCTTGCAGCCCCCGTTGATGAGTCCCGTTGGCCCTCCCACACTGCAGAGATACAGGCTTAGAGCTGTTGAAGTAGTCACACTAATGATTATGTCACAGCTAAACGGATTGACTCCTTATTCCTGACCTGCGCAGGAAGCACCCTGGTCAATGGTACCAAAGAGTGTGTACGCTTATTAATGTCACAAAGACTACAAAGACAAAGTAATTAAAAGAGAATTGTGAACTCTGCAGACCATACTCATTATTGTGCTCACTGGAAAGAAAGAAAGTTTTGTTTGATTAAAGTGACAGTATGCAACTTTGCAAATTTGGAAAATCGATGCAAGGGTTGAGAGTCCAGGTGTAGACATGGTTTAGTGCAGAATTAGTTACAATTTTGATATGGTATATATATCTATTCTATAAGTAATCATTCTAAATATAGCTGTGATTCATAACGCTAAAAATTAATTCAAATTATATAACCTTCTCTATATAACTATCTAAATACTGTAACCTTTTCCACTAAGGTGCTGGTTCTGAGCTGATTCAGTTGAGTTGCCAAAAGCAGGGTCAGTTCCCGTTACCATAGCAACAGATTGTTTGTTAGCAACAGTTAGCATTTGTTAGCTTCTCAACCAACTGTTTTTGCTGTATTTCAGTTACAACTAACTTTATTTCACCTTCTCTCCATTACTTACAGTTAAAAATGATAGATACTTTGGTGTTTTAAGTATTTCTCCAGAGCTGGTTCCCATTTCTGGCCCTGGTCTGAACCAAGACTGAGTCAGGGCCAGTTTTTGGTACTAATTTCCAGCAAATTTTAAGTGGAAAAGAAACAGCAATCGTCTCGAAGGACTTTACAAAGTTGTCAATTCACCAATTACAGATCAGAGAATTACACAGTTTGAAAACAGGAAATACAATTATAACAAACACATAGGAGCCATTCCATAGGGAGCGGGACGGCCAATGATCAATAATGTTAATAAAATGTCCTTGAATGTCCAGGATCATCGCTGTGCTTAGATCGGCAAGGAACCACTCAATATGAATAAGATATAAGTGAGAAATCTTGGGATGGACAGGCTGATCCAGAACTCAGTCTGAAGAACGAGGATTGAGGCTATAGATCCAGGAAAGGAGTTTTAGTGAGGACATGAAAGCAGCCTGATTAGTGTCGAAATGAGATGTAACCATAGGCAGCCCACTTCCTTCTTCCTCAATCACATTTTTCCGCATAATTTAATTTATTGGCTCATTACTGGACGTGATGTTGCATTCTCATTTGTTCTGCAGTGTTTCAGGGCGTGGCGCCAATGTCCACTCTTCAGCAGATGGACACATTAAATATGAATGAACAAGATTACATTTAACACTGAGATTGGAGCCAAACAAGAACTGTAAATTATTATTTAACGGATACACAATTATTAAAAAAAAATATTATAATGGCAGATGTTTAAACTGCTTGTAGTTTTTTCTTTACTTCCTGTTTTTTTTTTTTGCTTCCAAAACTGTGGCATGGAGCTGGATTTGATCCGTTTGTGTTAAATTAT